TGGTATGGAAAATGATCTTGTAGCATGTTCATTAGCTTAAAGGCTTCAATTAGGTAACTAATTTTTAAATGATGAAGATGAAAATACAAAGAAATATGAAATGGAAGAATTTAAGAGTTTTAATAATAATGATGATGATCATGATAATAATAATAATAATAATAATAATAATAATAATAATAATAATAATAATAATAATAATAATAATAATAATAATAATAATAATAATAATAATAAAGGATTTTTTTTTGAATTCCGTTGATTTTTATCCGAAAATTTGAGAATTTAAAAATTACAATTTCCAAATTTTCCAATTTTTTTTGGATTGGAATTGAAATTGAAATCTATACCGAATTTCAATCCTTAATTAATTTTAAAAATAAAATCTTTTTGTTTTTGCATAAAAATCTCCCCTCCATGCAAAACTAAAGGAAAAAGGCTGCAGAAGAACAGCCGCCTTTCGCCACTGCTTTACGCCGCCATCAAACTGCCGTGGGCACCACTAAACTCACCAGTAAGCAAATCAATTTCTCAATTGAAAATAAAATTCAGATTTTTACTTTCGGACATTAAAGAATTGTTCATGTGTTTGTTTTGATTTATTTTTTTATGTTTAAACTCTAAACCGTGTTTCCTTAACCTACCTAAAACATGAAAAATCTATACATACAGTCACATCTTACAAACCCTAATTTCGAAATAGGCAAGTTTTATTCGATTATTCAGAAAATTGGGATTTTTTTTTTATTTTTTTATACATGGGATTTTGTAAAACAAAACTTGCTAGATTTCTCGTTTCTTTATATATATTTTAGTATTTTTTTTTAGCTGAAGTTATTGTTGTTCCAGAAATGAGTGCTATGTCTTCGAATGATTATGAGGAAAACGACGAAGATGTTTTTCTCGACGAAAGCGATATAATTAACGAGTACGATGTCGATGCAGAAGGTATGTACGTATGCAGTAAAAATAAGTTTGTGCTACATATTTTCCAATTTATTATTTTTTTAGTGGGATTAACTCTGGCTATTTAAGATTGTTTCTTCTGATGATTCCGCAAATATCGAATGCTACAAACCGACCTTATGTTAATTTATTTAGTTAGAATTATGTTGCTGTCTGCTTGTTACTGATATTGCATATGTTAAATGCAATCTGACTTGTAATTTAAGCAATATTTTGCTGCAATAATACATACTCAGAATGTATTTGTTCTGTTTACTAATTTACCCGATTGTGGCTTCAGAACTACCAGACGCAAACGAGGAAGGTGGCTCTGATGGAGAAGATGATTCCGGTGCGTTCATCTGAATTATACGTTTTTCGTTTACGAGTCGTACTCGGACATAGTATTTATAACTATTGATTTCTTCCGTGTGTATAAGTATAAATAAGATTAATACAATATGCATCAGTTGTTTCAATGTCGATCTTCTTTTTATTTAATTAGTCAAATCCTACACGATGTTGAAGAATATGGATAGTATGCATTTGTTCGAAATGGTGATAAAGCTACTTCGAATATTCGATTTTTTTTTCAAGAGCTTATTCAGTTTCGCGTTTCGCGTTTCGTTTTACCATGTTATCTTTCGATGGTTGCAGATGAAGTTGATGATTCGATACATATATTTACCGGTCATACAGGTGAGCCATTTTATTCCAGTGTGTTCAAGCTTTTATTAAATTGAGTTTGGTGATAGATAGTGGAGGAAAAGAACCGAAACCAAATCGAAACCCGAAAACCCGAAAACCCGAGAAAACCGAAAATCAAAATAGATTTGTATATTTTAATGCCTTATTGTGAAACGAACGGAGAGAATAGCACTGGCTGAATTGACGTGTTTTTACTCCTATGGCATCATTTTTTGCCGGTTTCATTAACTTGCATCTTTGGAATTAAATTTTATGTAATTTTACGTAATATGTTTAAAAAGTTTCTTTATTGCATGTAGGCGAAGTATATGCTGCTGCCTGTAGTCCTACAGATGCTGCATTAGTGGCAACTGGAGGTGGAGACGATAAAGGATTCATATGGAAGATTAATAACGGAGATTCGCCTTTTGAGTTGCACGGTATTGAAATCGGCCCTTTTGCTCGTAGTTTCTTAAACGGGAAAAAAATAACTAAAATTTCTAACTCTTAATCCCGATTTTTGATTCACAAGATCAGAGTATTTCATCGTCTTCCGTGTTTAGAATCTTTTGGGGTACCCTGTAGTTTCGTATGCCGTAAACCGGGTTTTTTTATATTAGAAGAACTTATTATTTCTCAAAAGTTGCTTAATACATATCAAATTATATCTTGTATGTATATATATATGTGTATATACAGGTCACGAAGACTCTGTATCTAGTCTTTCCTTTAGCCCGAACGGAAATTTTCTTGCATCGGGTAGTTTGGATGGAACAGTTAAAGTATGGGATATAGCTAACGGAGAATTAAAATGTACTCTCGAATATCCAAACGGTGGCATTGCGGTAAATATTTGATCAGAAGTTATTAAACTTGGTGATTAGTTTATCGTTTTAGTTTTACGCTATATATTTACTAAACGGTTTTTGTTCAGTGGGTGAGGTGGCATCCGAACGGAGGTTTCGTCTTGGCTGGTTCGGAGGACAATTCTTCAGTTTGCATGTGGAATCCCGACATGGCTTCTTACATGCATGTTTTCTCAGGTCACGCGAGTAGTGTAACTTGTGGCGATTTTACCCCTGACGGTACTTACTTTTCTATCGCAATTCGACGATAAATTTGCGGTTTTTGTGAAATTTTGTTATATGTTAGTGATTTTCACTTTACGAAGGTCGAAGAATTTGTACCGGTTCTGACGATGCAACTCTGAGGATTTGGGACCTGGAAACTTCTAAAGTTAACGTTGTTGCCGGTATGCTTTCGATTTTTCTTTTTTCTATTTCATTTTTCAATTTTTTTTTCTATATAAAAATACAATACAATATATACTCGATATATTTATTGCCAGGTCATTTTTATCATCGAGAAGGACTGACGTGCTTGACTATTTAGCTCCGACTCTAGTCTTGCGCTGACTGGCTCGGTCGATGGTTTTGTTCGTGTCGTTAATATATCAACTGGAAAGGTGGGATTTTTATTATTATTATTATTATTTATTTTTTCGAAAATGCAGCTTCTCTTGAATGTGTAATTAATGATATTAATTTAATGATGTCTGAAATTGCAGGTTCTCGGTTCGTCGAGTGAATGTAAACATTCGGGATCGGTCGAGTTTGCTGCTTTTCAACCAAGGTTTATAACTGCCACGTTTCTTACCCAAAAAAACAATTATATCCGAATAAATTATTTAATATTATACGAATATATTTGTAGCTCTCGAAGCACTAGTTGGAGAGCTGCAACCGGAGGCCTGGATAAGAAGCTTATAATCTGGGATCAGGATTTATCGCCCCGTTGGACATGTCATCATACGGTGCATTCGATTACTACCTTTTGTCAATAAATTTTTTTTTTGAAGTATTAGTTATGGTAATTATATGATTAAATCTGCCCCGTTTATTAATTTAATTTGAATGACGAGTAGACCTAATATTCGACAGTTTTATTGCAGGAAGGTGTGACGTGTTTGGTGTGGCTTTCGAGACATATAGCCACTGGATGTGTTGACGGAAAAATACGGATATGGAATATTCTGTCCGGGGTTTGTGAAAAAACATTGAGTGGACATTGTGGTGCAATTCAGTCGATTAAAAGAACTTGCGACGGAGATTTTCTAGTTTCCGTTTCGGTTGATGGAACCGCTCGGGTATTTGAGATTGCACAATTCAAATAAGGTGTCGTGATTCGACTGAGGTCTCGAGTTTTTGTGTAATTCAATCATATTTTGATCTATTGGTACTTTCATTGTTTTGGGATATAGATTTTGCAAGTTTTTGTTAGAAATGGTGAGGGATGTTTATGTGTTAAAAATTAAAATGGTTCTCGGCTACTCGTAATACTTATTTCATTAAGTGTAAGACCAATTAAAAGAACTACCATAAAAAAAACATCATCAAATGACTAATATACCCATCACTTAATTTCCTTTTTCTTTTTTTGCAAGACCAAAGAACAAGGTTTAAGTTTCAAAAAAAAAGAAAGAAAAGATTAGTGGAAATAGAAAAAAATAATAGCTAATGTAAGTTCCATTGTTAAAAAAAAAAAAGAACTACGGCTTTACACGAAAACAAATAGTTATAAATTTAATTTATGAAGGTTGTTGCTCGTCTTCGGCGTAGTGCGAATCCAGAATTTTCAGTCTTCAATTTATATATATATCATTTTATATATATATATATATATATATATATATATATATATATATATATATATATATATATATATATATATATATGTGTGTGCGCGCAGTTTCATAAACACATGAAAAGGAAGACCAAAATAACATAAATCTCCAATTATGTAGTGAGAGAGAATTGATACTTAAAGTTGAATTTAAAAAGGAAAAATATAAAGGAAAAAAAACATGGAATTCTAAAGTGATAGATAATATGAAACAAAAATATTTAACTAAAAGTCGCAGTTGTTGTGGAGGTTCAAAGCAAATTTGCTGCGTTTATAACTATATCGGCAAGCAGTTGTAGGTCGGAATTTTCTTTAGTGAACGCGGACTTGAATGGCGGACTGTTCAAAGCATCTTCACAATAGGACGCATCGTTCTCGACTTCGGATGCA